GTTTTGCTGGTATGTGGAGGGAAGAAGTGCAATGCTTGGTGTGGTGTTTTGTGGTTTCAAGAGAGAGAGGATACCCAGTTGTGGGTTTTCCTTTTAGGACATTTGGCATGGGCTCATCTGCTGGCCTCCCTAGGAGTATCAAGTCAGACCTGTAGGAACCAAAGAGAAGAAAGGACTCTGCCCGTGTAAGAAGGAAAGTGCCTAGCTCTTGTGTTCAGGGCGTAGCAGAACGGCGGGACGGAGCAGGGCGAAGGTGGCAGCTTTTTGCCGGTCTCGCTTTCCTGTGTGGCAGCAGCAGAGAGACGTCTCTGGACTGCGTCAGAGTACATCTAGCTGAGAAGAACATGCCGCGCATCTTCGGCTGTGTGCAGTGGAAAGGGCTTCGAAGTAGAAAAAGACTACCAATGCTTAGAAATTTGCAAATAGAGAGGACTGGTCCTGACAAGTTTTCTGTCTTGAGACACATCTATAGCGCTGCCTTGTACTCAGCGGCTTGTACCATAAAGTGCTTCCAGGCTCGCAGAATCCTTAGAATTCCCTCTGCCGCGGTCGTACAAAAAAGCGAGACAGGGCAAAACTCCTTAACCCTTTCGCCCTACTCCTCCCGACCCTTCAGCTACACACTGCACACGAGAGCTAGGTGATTTCCGTCTCACATAGACAGCGTCCCTTCTTCTCTTTGGCTCCCAAACATCTGACTTGACACTCCTAGAGAGGCCAGCAGATTAGCCCAGCAGAGAGTGCACCTGGCAAAGCCGTGGGCTGCCAGCTTTCCCAGGAGTATATTATGGGAGGCAGCGTGAAAGGCTTTGCTGAAGTCCAGATAGACCACATCTACAGCCTTCCCCTTGTCCACCAGGCAGGTCAGCTGATCATAAAAGGAGATCAGGTTGGTCAGACAGCATCTTGTGGTGCTCTGTATGGCATCTTGGCTTAATGTTAAAGCTGTGGGCGAGGCGAGGGGCGGTGGCTGAGCAGGGCCAGCGGCGGTGCCGGACGGGGCTGCCCTGGGGGTGCCTTCCACCGTGGGGGTCGCAGCCACGGGACCCGCCCCCACCCTGCGTTGCCCCTCCTGGTGCGCCCCGCCCATCGTTGGGGGCTGCGGTAGGCCCCCGGCCCTTCCCGCGCTGCCGAGGCTGCCGGGGAGGGACAGGGCTGTGCGGGGGGGAAAGGGCTTTGGTCCTTGTGTTCGAGTGCAGCAGTAGGAGGGTGTTCCAGGGCGGTGCAGGGGGGGCCGGGTGACCTCACGGATGGCGCGGTGGGGCCCGAGGGCTGCAGCTCTCAGGGCCTGGCGGTGGGCGGGGTCTGCCTGGGTTTAGAGGGAGAAGCTGGGACTTGGCATGGTGTGATTTGGTGTGTGTGTGTGTGGGGAGGTGTCTGTTTTTCTGCTTTCTTTTTCAACCACTGCGGTGCTGGGCAGAAAAGGCTGGAAAAGAAAGAGTGGCAGTGGCTTCCCAATTCACTTTACAGACATTTGCCACCTTCAGAGGAGGCACTAATCCCCACGCAGCTGAGCAAGGGCTGCGGGGAGTGCAGCAGGGTGCAGCGAGCTGGGGCGGAGCTGTGACTCAGGGGAGGGTGTGCGCAGTCCCTCAAAACCCGCACCTAACCCCAGCCCAAAAGAAGCCCAGAGCGAAGCACCATGAGCCAGTGCAGGTCCCGGGCCCCCCCTGAGAACAGCCCCTGCCTCCTGCTCGCTCCGGCAGCGCCCCTTGGCTGGCGCCGGCCCCTTTCCCCGGCTCGCGCAGCCGCCTGTGGTTCCATGCACCCTTCTGTCCTCTCCCATGCGAGACAGCCCCAGGTGTGGGCAGTGAGGATGACCAAGGAGCGGGACAGCCCCAGGTGTGGGCAGTGAGGATGACAAAGGAGCGGGACAGCCCCAGGTGTGGGCAGTGAGGATGACAAGGGGTGGGCCCTGCTGAGTGGTTATCTGGGCCACTTTTTGTAGGGAGCTTCTGCGGGGGAGCAGTCTTTCAAGGAGTAACGGTGAGGGCGTCTCGCCGAGGCAAGCACCTGAGGTACCTGGATCATCGCTCAAGGAAGGGGCCGAGGGATGAGCCATGTGCCAGGAAGCAGCACAGGAGAGAGGAGCAGCGCACGTGAACAGGTGGGGGAGTACAGAGAAGATGCAGCTCGGACTGGAGGAAGAGCTTGGAGGTTTCTTTTACTGATATGAACATGCAAAGCAGGGAGCGAGGTGGGTTATAAGCACTATAGCTGCTCGGGCAGGTGAGCCAGGACTTAGGGGATGGACTAGCTTTCCTGAGCACCAAAAGTTCCAATTAATTGCCTCTCTCAGGAGCAGTCGAGAGGAGTTTCTACTTTGGGGCTGGGCTACAAAGGAAGGCAGCTGAAACTGCTGTGGGAAGCTTACTGCTGTAACCAGGCAGTAGTTTACACTGAGTTTTTAACTACTAAACCCACTGAGTTTTGTTTTCTCTGTTCCCAAAACCTGCTGGTACTTGTTAAACTGACTTGCTAAGTTGTGCATTGCTCGATAAACCCTTGCCTCTTTCCTTTTCCTAGAGGGATGATTAGTCTTACCTTGGAAGCAAGAGAATGTCCTGGTGTGCGTGCTTTTGCCATTTTTTATCCCAGCTTATCTTCGAGCCTTACTTGATGCTGCGTGTGATTTTTTTCAGCACTATGGGAAGGGCACAACTTGCCATAATATTGGCCTGTTTCCTTCTCTGTGCAAAAGGACATGTTTCAGCAAGTGTGATGGTGCCTGGTGCCACCTGCAGAGCTCTCTGACTGCCTGAGCCCTCTTTTCCTTTTGCTTTTCTTTTGTGGCTTTAATTGGCACCTGGATAAGTTTAGAAGAGCTGTTAAGTTCCTTGCCTGTGTAAATGTGCTGGTAATACCAGGGAGGGAAAGGCTTGAGCTAGGAGCAGAATTTCTGAAGGAAGAATAACAGTAAGCAAATAGCAATTATCCAAGAACTTGGCTGTTTTGAAGGCATCAAAGTTTTATTGCTGCCTGTTGTTTGGCACAGTGTGGCGAGCGGATGGTCTTGGGGAACAGATCTGGAGGAAATTCAGTATGGGTTCTTTGAAGCCAAAGGTGTCCCTCTGCGCATGTCTCCCTCTGCATGAATGCCATCAGTGGGGCTGCCTTTCCCACTCTTGGCATTGCAGTGGCTGTGCTGCTCTACTCAGATCCGATGGGTGGCTTGGGGGTGCTGGATGGCTCTGTCAGAATGGCGAGGTTGGGGTGCCCATCCTTAGGGTTACACTGTGGGTCAGAAGCATTTATTGGTTTTGCTGTTGCAAGATGGAAGAGAATGTGTGCTTCTTAAATCCAAGGACAGCCGAAAGCTAGGAGAGATCCCAAGCAGGTTTGGTGGCACAACAGCAGTTTTAAAAAATCCTAACCCTTAGAGAAATGGCCAGGGAAAATGGTTCCTTGTTTGCAAGGAGAGGGAGCTTGCTGTACTAACTAAGCAGAGTACTCACCTTGGGATGTGCAGGGTGAGGAAATCTCCGTTCTGTGTAGGCTTGAGAAAACGTGTATAGGTACCCGTGTGTGGCATCCGTACAGATGTAGGAAAGGAGATCTGTGACATCCAAGCTGCCAGGGAGCCAAAATATTGTGTGATTGTCTGAAAAAGGCAAAAGCTCTGTCGACCTCTATCGACACCTGTACCAATGGAGATGCAAAATACTTTTTCCTCCTCTCAGCTGAAGACCTCACAAACCTCATCAGAGGTTTGAGAAGGACAGCATTTTGCAGAGGAGATAGAGATAATCAGGGTTGGTTTTTTCATGGTAAAATCTAGGTAACCTGTAGGGATTTTTAGTGTTAATATAGATAATATGCTGCACCTGTGAAAGCATAACCTTATGCTGCAGGTATAGGGATTTATAATGCTGATTTAGAGTATATGCTGCAAGCTGTGAGAACATAGCCTGATGTTGCTAGCATAGAAAATATGCTGCTGTGGGAACACAATTCTAGGTTGCTAACTAGAGGATATGCTGCTATGGGAAATAATTTTATGTTTCAATTCTGAAAACATGATCTGCTGTTCTGATGGCCTTCTGATGATACAGGATGAGAAAGATTTACTAAGAGAAACAGTAGCAAAACTAGATCTAGAAACTAGGGTCTCAGTACCAGCTATCAGGGTGAGAAAGGATGTAAAGTATGCTAAAGAAACAAAGGTCAGAGAAGAGTATTGTTAGAAAACTGTATAAAAGACCAACGCTTGGTTTCAATAAATGGCATTCTCTGATCATCACATTGATGTGCTGAGTCATCCATGCTTGCGCCGAGGGAACCCCACAGTAACCTAGGGATGGAATGAATATTTTGGGCCTAAAATCAGAGGTAAACTATAGGGGTCAGAGTGTATATTTTGAGTGTAATAGCTCAGATAGTTGTTGGAGGTAACCTGGATGAGGAAGAGGAGTTTAAAAGGTGGAAGGAAGCAATATCTGGCAACATAGGCCAGATAGCATCAGACAGACAGACTGTCTGTTAGATTGTGAGCTCTCTCTCTTGCTGGGGGAGAGCAGGTTTCTCTGATTGGCCAAAGTCCAGTTAGAGGCAGTTAGTTTTCCCAATTAAGAACTTAGTAGTTATCTAAAGATGCATGTATCCCCCCCATTATGTATATCAATCTTAAATCCTATCCAATACCCTGTCCAAGTTTATATATACACCTATCCCCTTTTTCCAGAACCTTCCTTATCTGCCTATAAAACCCCTCCATTTTGTGAAATAAAGTTAGATCAGCCTTAGCACCCACAGCTGGTGTCTCTGTGTGATTTGACCCCTGAGCTCGGCCGATACACCACCAGGCACAATGAAAGAAACTGCAGCTCAGCTGTGAACCCCTGCCAGTCTGAGGTGATCCAGAAACCCCAAACCGTGATAGATAGTCTTTTCCCTAGGAAGGAAAGCATGTAGCCCTGTGATTGAAGGTGTAGATGACAGGCTGCCTAGGGGAGGTAAAGGACAGCAAGACTTTTCTGTCCTGACCCTTTCTGTACAAACAGGTGAAAGAGGCCATCGGCACAAGTGTGGAGAAGAGCCAGGTGAACACTGGTGAGCAAGATGAGCGTGGACTCCTTGACAGAAGTAGATGTTCCTTTTCTGGTGAGCTACAAACATGCCTAGTATTTTGCGACAAGGTTGGGTGGTCTTGGGCTGGCCTTGTGAGTAATCCCGAAGTATTACAGGGCTCAGCGATGGAGCATGTGCCTTTTCTATTTACAGATGCTGCCCAGGTCGCTTTTGGAAAGAGAGGAGAATTCCAGGTGAGTCGGGGCGGTGGCAGGAGGAGCAGGGGTGCCCTGAGCTTTCCAAAATGCCACGTAACTTTGTCCGTCACTCACCCAGATATCCCGTGCGATGCCAGCCGCAGCCTCTGGCATGGGCAGAGGCGGCAGGACTCCGTCCGGAGCCGGTGAGCCGAGGACCTCGGTGCAGCTGGGAGAGTGTGAGTATGGGAATTGTTGGGGTTTGGCTGAGCTGCTGCTAAGCTCCTGAAGTGATTGTGGTTTTGTTTCTTGTAGCTGACAAGGAGAATAAGCCAGCGTCTGCAGGAACCTCTGAGGTAGCCGAGATGACCTTTCCTGTGTGTTGAAGAAGGATTCACAACCCCAGCTGTCATAAAGATAAGTGGAGGGCTGTGACCCGGAGAAGGGAGGAGAGCAGGGTACCGGGTTGGGAATTTCTGGGATCGATTTAGAAATTAGCGTAAGGAGAGAGGGATGTCCAGTAACAGGCCCCTAGTGCACAAAGAGGGAGTGGCTTGCTTTGGAGCACAACACCGGGCCGTGCAGGGCAGAGCAATTCCGGTCTGCGTCACACAGTTTGTCTAGTCCGTCTTGCGTGTCTTGCGGGTTCCTCGGATCAGCCGTCTTTGCGTTCTGTCCCAAAGGGGCTTAAGGGAAGCGTGGGGCGTCATCCCCGGGGTCTCGAATGTCTCCTCGGCACGGTGCCGATATCGTCCGTTCCTCGACTCGCAATCTTGCATCGAAATCGCATCTTGGAATTTTACAGTCGGGTGTCTTCTCCGGCCACATTTCAGGCTGCGTCGTCAGCTGTCCCCCCAGTCTTACATCCCGAACGTAGCGTTCTCACACATCCCTCTTTGCGGTTTTGACAGGCCCTTCTTGCCCAAGGTAGTTCTCTTTGAGTCTTTCCAGAGGTTGCCGTAGGGCATTCTCAGCTCGGAGACGCAGTCGCGTAGGTCATCTTGCTCAACAGCATCTCGGTTCTCGGAGTTCTGCTGCTTGCCGAGAACTGTCTCTCATCATTCTGCTGCATGTTTGTAATGTTACGTGTCAGGTGGGCATGTGTTTGTCCCGAAGCTGCTCTGCTCTGATGTTAGATGAGGGGGCGGGGGGTTGCAGGTACGTGATATCATAAAAGTTGCAGGTAATCCAACCTGCAGGAGGTTGAGGGTAAGTCATTTCTTCCCTAAGAGGAAAGGGGTTTTGTTTGCTTGCAGGAGTCCCGTGCTGAAATTGCCAGTCTGACTGCCAAAACTGAATACAAACAAAGATTCCTCTGAGGCAAAGCTTCCATCACAGAAAGCTCCCGCTGTCCATGGAGTATCCAGGAGGGCCTACAACCTTGACTACTGACCCCGTGGGTAAGCACTTTCTTTCCTGAGAGAATTGGCTGTCGTTCACTTGTAGGAATCCTGTGCCGAAATTGCCAGTCTCACCCCCGAATTGAATATGGACGAAGATTCCTCCAAAACAAGAGGTGCAAGGACAGAAACCTCCTGCTGCCCATGGATTGCCCAGGCTGGGCCACCAACTGCACTGGAGACCCCCAAGGTAAACACTTTCTTTCCTGGGACAAAAGGCTATTGTTCGCTTGCCAGGATCATGCGCTGAAATTCCAAGTATGACTGCCAAAATTGAGTTTGGATGAAGATTCCTCCAAGACAGAAGGTGACTGGACAGAAAGCTCTTGCTTCCCATAGAATGCCAAGGGCAGCCCACAACTAGGACCCTTGACCCTGGGGATAAGCACTATCTTTCCTGGGAGAAAAGGCTGTTGTTCGCATGCAGGAATCCTGTGCTGAAATTGCCACTCTGACTGCAAAATTGAATACAAACGAAGATTCATCCCAGACAGAAGGGGGCAGGACAGAAACCTCATGCTGCCCGTGGATTGCCCAGGCTGGCCCACCAACCGCACCTGAGAGCCCGAGGGTAAGCACTTTCTTTCCTGGGAGAAAGGGCCGTTGTTCCCTTGCAGGAATCCTACACTGAAAGTACCAGTCGGTCTTCAAAATTGAATCCAGACAAAGATTCCTCCAGGAAAGAAGGTGGCTGGACAGAAATCTCCTGCTGCCAATGGAGTGTGGAGGCCAGCCTACAACCTGGACTTTGACCCCGAGTGTAAACACTTTCTTTCCCAGGAGAAAGGGCTGTTGTTCGCTCAGAGATAACCTGTGTTGAAATTGCCAGTCCGAGTCCAAAATGGAATACGAATGAAGATTCTTCCCAGATAAAAGGTGCCAATCGAGAAATCTCTTGTTGCCCATGGAGTGCCCAGGCCGGTCCACCAAATACTCATAACAGCCAAAGGCTACAGGCTTTCTTTCCCGGGAGAAAGGGCTGTTGTTCTCCTGCAAGAGTCCAGCGGTGAAACTGCCAGTCTGACTGCCAAAATTGAATACAAACAAAGGTTCCTCCCAAACTGAAAGTGGCTGGGCAGAACGCTCCTGTTGTTCATGGAGGGCCCAGGCTGGCCTACAAACCAGACCCTTGAAAACAACAGTAAGCATTTTCTTTCCTGGGAGAAAGAAAGGAATCCTTGAAGGAATCCTACGCTAAAATTGCCAATCTGACTCGAAACTTCAAGATGAACAAAGATTCCTCCTAGACAAGAGGTGCAATGAGAGAAAGATCCTGCTGCCCATGGATTATCCAGGCTGGCCCAGAAACTGAACTTGAGAATCTGAGGGTAAGCACACCCATTCCCGGGAGAAAGGGCTGTCGTTCGCTTGCTGGAGTGCTGCGCTGAAATTGCCGATCTGAATGCCAAAATTGAATACGAACAAAGGTTTCTCCCAGACAGAAGGTGGCTGGGCTCCTGCTGCCCGTGGAGTGCCCAGAACAGCCTAAAACCCAGGCCCTTGACTCTGAGGGTAAGCACTTTCTTTCCTGGGAGAAAGGGCCGTCATTCGCTTGCAGGAGTCCTGCGCTGAAATAGCAAGTCTGACTAATGAATCTAAACACCGATGAAGATTTCTCCCAGGGAGAAGGTGGCAAGACAGAAAGGTTCTGCTACCCATGGAGTGGCCAGGCTGGCCCACTAACTACACCTGAGACCCCCAGGGTAAGCACTTTCTTTCCTGAGAGAACAGGCTTTTGTTTGCTTGCAGGAGTGCCGCACTGAAATTGCCAGTCGGACACCAAAATTCAAAACGAACAAAGATTGCTGCCAGACAAAATACGCAAGGAGACAAAACTCCTGGTGTCCATGGAGTGCCAAGGCCAGCCCACCAACTGCACTTGAGACCCTGAGACTAAGCACTTTGATTCCTGGGAGAAAGGCTTGTTGTTCACTTACAGGAATCCTGCACTGATATTGCTACTCAGAGTCCCAAACTGACTACAAATGAAGATTCCTCCCAGACAAGAGGTGCCATCAGAGAAAGCTCCTGCTTCCCACAGATTTCCCAGACCAGCCCACCAGCTGCACCTAAGCCTCTGAGGGTAAGCATTTTCTTTCCTAGGAGAAAGCGCTGTAGTTCGCTTGCAATAATCCTGTGCTGAAATTGCTAGTCTGACAACAAAATGGAATAGGAATGAAGATTGCTCCCAAACAAAAGGAGCCATCACAAAAAGTTCCTGTTTCCCTTGGAGGGCCCAGGCTGCCCCACAAAGTGCACATAAGACCTTGAGGGTAAGCACTTTCTGTCCTAGCAGAAAGGACTTCCGTTCACTTGCAGGAGCCCTGCGCTGAAATTCCCAGTCCAACTGCAAAAATTGAAGACAAACAAAGATTCCTCCCAGACAGAAGGTGGCCGGGCCAAAAGCTCCTTGTACCCGTGGAGTGCCCGGGTCGACCTACAACCCAGACCTTAAAGCCAAGGGTAAGCACTTCCTTTTCTGGGAGAAAGGCCTGTTGTTCGCTTGCAGGAATCCTGCACTGATATTGCTTCTCTGACTTCAAAATGGAATAAGAACAAAGATTCCTCCCAGACAAGAGGTGCCATCACAGAAAGCTCCTGTTGCCCATGGAGTGCCCAGGCTACCATACCAACTGCACTGTGGACCCTGAGGGTAACCTCTTTCTTTCCTGGGAGAACGGGCTGTTGTTCACTTGCAGGAATTCTGTGATGAAATTTCTAGTCTGACTCCAAAATTGAATACGGACAAAGATTCCTCCCAATCAAAATGTGCAGAGAGAAAGCTCCTGCTGCCCATGTAGATCCCAGGCTGGCCCACAACCTGGACATTTTACCCTGAGGGTAAGCATCTTCTTTTCTGGGAGAATGGCTTGTTGTTTGCTTGCAGGAATCGTGCACTGAAATTGCCAGTGCGATTCCAAAATTAAATTCAGACGAAGATTCCTCTCAAACAGAAGGTGGCTTGACAGGTAGCTGCTGCCGCCCATAGAGTTCCCAGGCTGACCCACCAAGTGCACCTGATACCCCTAGGATAAGCACTTTCCTTCCTGCGAGAAAGGGCTTTTGTTCGCTTGAAGAAATCCTGCGCTGAAAGTGCCACTCTGACTCCAAAGTTCAATACGAGCAAAGATTCCTGCCAGACAAAAGGTGCAAGGACAGAAAGCTCCTGCTGCCCATGGAGTGCTGAGGATGCCCTACCAACCTGGACATTTTACCCTGAGGGTAAGCACGTTCTTTTCTGGGAGAATGGCTTGTTGTTTGCTTGCAGGAATCCTGCAATGATGTTGCTACTCGGACTCCAAAATTGAATAAGAACAAAGATTCCTTCCAGACAAGAGGTGCCATCGCAGAAAGCTTCTGCTGCCCGTGGAGCGCCCAGACAGGCCCACCAACTGCAACTAAGCCCCCGAGGGTAAGCGTTTTGCTTTCCTGGGAGAAAGGGCTTTTGTTTGCTTGCAGGAATCCTGTGCCAAAATTGCCAGTCTGAATGCCAAAATGAAATATGGACAAAGATTCCTCCCCAGTCAAAATGTGCAGAGAGAAAGCTCTTGCTGCCCATGTAGATCCCAAGCTGTCCCACAGCCTGGGCATTTTACCCTGAGGGTAAGCACTTTCTTTCCTGGGAGAACGGGCTGTTGTTTGCTGTCAGGGGTGGACCAGAAGAGGCCTACAGAGAGTGGCGAGAGATGCAAAAGAACTACAAAGAAGGCTCAGAAGAAGAGATCTCTATCGAAGTCTCCTAGTAACTGCAGCTGCGCAGAACTGCTTGGGACCCAGCTACAAGGCCGCAGCCTTGCAGCTTTTGCAGATTCCCATGTCTCTGCCCCCAGGACAATCCTTCCATTCTTCCCTAAGCTCTCCCTTCCCCTGGCGTGACCAGACATATTCTATGCAGCCTATCCCTCCAAGTTCACTTATCACTAGCTCACGGGATTTGAGGTTCCCCAGCAAGAAACCCACCTCTATTCCTGAACCTTCTGTATCCCCCTGTATATAAATTGTCTTCTTGTTTTAATAAACGCCATTTTGTGGGTCACATACACTTGTGTGTGTGTCCTGTTTCCCATACAAGATGTGCCACTGGGTCTGTCGCGGGACCGAACCCCACCCGCGATAAATGGCGCTCTGAACGTGGAGCTCGAACTCATCTTTCTTATATTAAGAGAGATCTTGGCTCCCGTGAGCTACTGATAGACTTGGATTTCCGGAGTCCGGTCTATCCCAAAGACCCCACTCACAGAAGCCACGAGTGGGCTTTGCCCACTCAGTCTTCAGCCGCTGTTACTGCGAGAAACCAGCTGCGTGAGACCCCGGTGCTGGGACAGCCCGTGCCGAGCGAGAGGAACCGGGACCGTGCGCCGCTGCCACCCGAGCAGCGCAGCTGCCCCCCCACCCCTGCCGCCCGGGCAGCCGCCGCTTTGGACGGCACCACCACGCCGAGCCGCCGCGGAACCGCGCCGCGCCGGGAACCAGCGCCCAGCCCCCCTCCACGCCGGGACCCCAGCAGTGCCTCAGCGGAACCGCCCAGGCTCCCGCGATCCCCACGCCCCCGCACACGCCGCTGGGAATCGTAGTCGCAGCCCGCTCCAGCGTCAGACTGCGTTTGGAGGACCGCCTCGCTGAAGATAGCCTGTGAGTGATCCCAGAATCCTTTTCTTTTACTTTCAATATGGGCAACACACTTTCCAACTCAGAAAAGCAGTTTTATAAACGCATTAAAGCCATACTACTCTTTGAGGGTCACCCCATAGATAAAAAGTCCCTCAAAGCTTTAACGAAATGGCTTTCCAAGAACAAGCTCATTTCCCCAGATTTATTAACCTATCGGCGGTGGTACAAGCTAGGAGACACGCTGGGACATGCCTTTGAACAGGGCGATAAAAATGCAGGTCTCTCTCTCATGTCGTGGCGTGCCATCCTTCCACATTTGAAAAACCAGAGACATGCCAAAAGTAACGACGAGAGCCCTACTCTTCCATCCAAAAAGCCTGAAAAAACTACCAAACCCTGCCCACCGCCCTCACAAGATGGCGCTGAGAGCCACCCCCCCCACCCTAAAGCGCGTGAAACAGCTAGACACGCCCCCACCCCGGGATGAGGTCAGCGCACAAAGTGACTCTAGCCCTGACTCCACGCCCCCTCATTCCCCGAGACCACGCAGCGCCCGCCCCGGGGGGAGGAGCCGGAGGCTGCGTTTCTCTGACTGCGCCCATGGATCCCATGCCGCGAGTAGAAACCCTGCAACAACAGACACTCCAGCCGGTAGCAACACAGGCTGTGACTCCCCTACCGCAAGCAATAAGTGGCAGGGTCCGAGAAAGCAGGCAGAAGATGCAGGGGACTTGGAATTACTGAAAGTTTTCCTGATTTTCCGAGAAAGCAATTGGGACCCCGAATGGGAACCGGTCCCATACCCCATCCTACGGGACGCGAAAAAAGCGGTTACAGACTATGGTTTAAATTCTCCTTTTGTTTCTGGAATGCTAGATTCCTTATTTGCAGCATACACCCTGACACCAACTGATATACGGGTAATTACAAAGGGATTTTAAACCTAATGCAGTATTCCCTCTTTGAACAAGAGTGGAAAAAACTCATAAGGCAATATGCTGAGAACTCACACCATGCACTGCGAGTGCCTGTGGAAGATTTAATTAATGAATTGTACGGGGAGGGTCCCTACTCCTCCAGCAGAATGCAGGCAAGGATACCCTTCGGCAGGCTAGATAAAACAAAAAGCCTGGCTTTAGAAGCCATCAAGGCTGTGGCAGAGGCCACAACCACTTCTCCTTCGTTTGCACACATACAGCAAGGCCTTAAAGAACCCTTTTATGACTTTGCTACCAGGCTGAGGGAAGCAATAGCTCGGCAAGTGAAACCTTTAGAGGCCCAAGATGCCCTGTTTATCCGATTAGCTATAGAACAGGCTAACCGAGATTGTCAGCCTGTTCTCCGTTCCTTGGTGAACCCCACACCCATGTCAATGATACAAGCCTGTAAAGACGTTGGCTCAAGCAAATATGAAAGCAAAATAATAGCAGATGCATTGATTGAGGCAGAACCAGTCAGAGTACAAGCCATCACAGAAGCAATTATGGAGGCACACAGAGCTAATAGTGTGTGCTACAAATGCCAGCAGGCAGGACACTTTACACGAGACTGCCCTAACCCAGATCCTAGCCCCAAGTTTCCTAGGACCCTGTGTCCCATATGCAAGAAGGGGTATCACTGGGCACGCTACTGCCGCTCCATTTTCAACAGAGATGGGGAGCCATCCGAGCCAAGGGATGAGGATCACCTTAGCCAAAGCTACCAACACAAACACAATGTGCCTTTCCCTCGACAGCGTGAGTCATCCTTTTAAAAGCTGTCTCGTGGGTATACCTGAGTGGAACAGGTTTATCCAAAACACTTCCCTTGTAGATAATTTCCTTCCTTCCCCAGACACTATTTCCCAAACTCTCCTACGTCTAGGTACCCTAGATACAGATCCCCAAGAATTAGATCTCTTAGGCTCATCTGTAGCTACCACTTGCTTTAGCTTCACACCCACTACTAATCGCCTTACCCTAGAACCTAACATATCCCCCAACTCTTCCATCTATACTATCACCACCGCATGGTGCAATTACTCCCAACCTTACCCTCTTCCCACTGAACGTTTCTTTAGACCCACAAAACTGCCTTCCACCTACTTTCTTATCTGTGGTGATAGAACGTGGCAAGGCATCCTGAAAAATCCAGTGGGAGGACCATATACCATTGGAAAACTTACTCTGTACAACCCAGCTAAATTGCAAATAATCAGGAACCAAATTTCTGACAGACCCAAACTCATTCGAAACAAAAGATCCTACATTTTAATGCGCACCAAATCTAGACCACTCCCAGTCGCGCCTGATTCTAAACCACGGGCACGCAAAGTCCCTCAAAACAATCCAACCAAAGAGGATAAACTAAACATCCATGTTCCACCAGACTGTGACCCCAAATTTCAAACTTGGTCCCATACTCAGAGATTCTGGGGTAGTTTTCCACTTGCCAACATTGGTGCAGCCAAAGCCCTCTCCACTCTAGCCCACATAGCCTGCTGGATGGCCAGCGAAGCCAATGCCACTTCCCTTGCCATTGGGAGCCTGCTAGCAGACACTCTGAAAATCAAAGAAGCTACTCTCCAAAATAGAGCAGCCATTGACGTTTTACTTCTTGCCCACGGCCATGGTTGCCAAGAATTTGAAGGGCTGTGTTGTCTGAACTTCTCAGACCACTCTGAGAGTGTGTTCCAAAGCATCAACACTCTAAAACAACTGGTTAATGACATCACCATAAACCAAGACAAAGGTTTTTCAGGTCTCTTTAGCTGGCTTCACTTTCCTTCTCTTTCTGATTGGGCCAACAAGATTGTTAAAGGAATCATTTTGTTTCTAATTATCACTTTCTCCATCCTTGTCTTCCTTCTCTGTCTAATTTTTTGTGTTAAAAAATACATAACTAAAAGTTTTTCCCAAGCTTTTCCAGTCTTGAAAAACAGAGAAGGGGGAAATGTCAGGGGTGGACCAGAAGAGGCCTACAGGAGTGGCGAGAGATGCAAAAGAACTACAAAGAAGGCTCAGAAGAAGAGATCTCTATCGAAGTCTCCTAGTAACTGCAGCTGCGCAGAACTGCTTGGGACCCAGCTACAAGGCCGCAGCCTTGCAGCTTTTGCAGATTCCCATGTCTCTGCCCCCAGGACAATCCTTCCATTCTTCCCTAAGCTCTCCCTTCCCCTGGCGTGACCAGACATATTCTATGCAGCCTATCCCTCCAAGTTCACTTATCACTAGCTCACGGGATTTGAGGTTCCCCAGCAAGAAACCCACCTCTATTCCTGAACCTTCTGTATCCCCCTGTATATAAACTGTCTTCTTGTTTTAATAAACGCCATTTTGTGGGTCACATACACTTGTGTGTGTGTCCTGTTTCCCATACAAGATGTGCCGCTGGGTCTGTCGTGGGACCGAACCCCACCCGCGATAGTTTGCTTGCAAGAATCTCGTGCTAATGTTGCTACTCTGCCTCCAAAGTTCAGTAAGAACAAAGATTTCTCCCAGAGCAAAGGTGCAAGGAGAGAAAGCTCCTGCTGCCCATGGATTGCCCAGGCTGGCCCACTACACCTGAGAGCCCCAGGGTAAGCACTTTCTTTCCTGCGTGAAAGGGCTGTTTTTTTCCTTGCACGAGTCCTGCGCCAAAATTGCCAGTCTGACTACAAAATTGAATACAAAAGAAGATTTGTTTCAGAGAGAAGGTGGCTGGACAGAAAGCTCCTGCTGAAAATGGAGTGTGGAGGCTGGCCTACAACCTGGACCTTTGACCCTGGGGGTACTCACTCTCTTTCCTGGGAGAAAGGCCTGTTGTTTGCAGGAAGAATCCTACGCTAAAGTTGCCAGGGAGACTACAAAATTGAATCCAATGGAAGTTTCCTTCAAGACAAAATGTTGCTGGAGAGAAAGCTCCTGCTGCCTGTGGAGTGCCCAGGCTGGCCCAAAACCTGGATGTTTTTCCCTGAGGGTAAGCTGTCATAGTTCCGATTTTAGCAAAGAAATTTTCTTTCTTTTCCCCCTGCCATGTGTGTGTGCTCTGTATATGGGCCATTAGTTGAACAAAGGAATTGGCTCTGGCCCACTAATGGCCGAGATTAGTTTCCTTGACAACGAAGGGGGGAGTTGGCTGCGGTGTGACTGGAAGGGGGTGGAGGCTGTGGGGAGAGGGGAGTCTCTCTCTCTGCCGGGAGGAGAGCCTGCTGCGGGCTGCAGACACTGCTGGGTTCCTTTGTGTCTTTCCTGTTGGAGGGGAGTTCTGGCTGCTGCTCTTGGCTCAACTGTGGCTGGCTGCAGGCCCTGCTTACAACGGACCCTAATCAGCTGAAGTTTGTGAGTTTTCTTTCATTGGGAGAACTTTCTGTTTTATTGCTGTTGTTTTCCTTTCCCTTCTTCCCCCCCACCTACCTGTCAGCATTTGAAACTTCTCTATAAGCCCTTGTGTCTTCCAATAAAGCCTGGCATTTGTTCCATCCCACATTAGTGTCATTGTCTGGTCCGTGGGACTGTTTCTTTATTATATTAGTACAACTGCTACATTTGGCAGCCAGAGATAACCTTGGAATATGAGTAGCAGGAAAATGCTGACCTTGCTCCTCCGCCCTCTAGTGCCGGTAGGCCCACCAACCGCCTGCATCCCCCCTGGAAAAAAAGAACAAAAACACGCTCACAGAATGACCAGTGTCAAAAAGGGCCAGAGAAAACCTTGGATTCTGGCTGGCAGGAAAATGCTGACCTTGCTCGGCTGCGCTCCGGTGCCGATAGCCCAAACCAAGGCTTGCATCCCACCTCGAAACAAAAGAGCAAAAACACACTCACAGAATGACCACCGACAAGAAGGGCAGAGATAACCATGGATCATGACTGGAAAGAAAATGCTCACCTTGCTTGTCTGCCCTCTGGTACCGATAGCCTCAACAACCGCCTGCATTCCACCTCGAAAGAAAGAGCAAAAACACGCTCACAAAATGACCACTGAGAAGAAGGGCCAGAGATAACTCTGGATACAGGCTGGCTGGAAAATGCTGACCTTGCTCGTCTGCACTCCGGTGCCGATAGCCCAAACCAATGCTTGCATCCCACCTTGAAAGAAAGAACAAAAAGAGGCTCACACAATGACCTCTGACAAGAAGTGCTTGGAAGAACTGCAAAGACAGACCCACAAGAATCTTCCATGGGGGATATGCTACGCTCTGCCCTGCACACCCTAGTGCTGCCCGTAAAACTCAGCCGCTTTGCTTCCCTCTCGTAAGAAACTTCATCTTAAACATCCCGTTCCCTACACTCATTTCAAAAGCCCTCCCGGCAATTCCTAAGCCTCTACCCGGCTCTCACCCTCTCTCTGCCTCAGAGCCCTCCACTTATCTTGCAGAGAGACGAGCCTGTCAATCCACCTTTCAAAAGCATCGGCCTTCAGCTGCCTCAGGGCTTCCTGTAGTCCCTGGGTTCTTCTCTTCCTCAACTCCAAGAAAGGAAACCAAAATCAGAGTATGACTTTAGCAGCACATTGGCCAAACCCCAACCATTCCCTCACTCACAGTCTGTTAAGTGCTCCCAAGTCGTCGTGTCACTGCCTCCAGCAAGAGGCGCAGCTTGCAGCTCCCACTGCATGGCACACCTGCAACAGGGAACAAAAGCTTTCAGTGGCATTTCTGACACTTCCCAGAACCCTCCTCCTCCTCGATACCTCCCCGACTCACCTGGGACGCTCATGTCTTTCCAAAGAGTACTGGGCTGGCACCTCAAAAGAGAAGAGGGCAATGCTTAAATGCCCAGCCCTGAACTACCCTGCCATTGCCCACAAGGCCAGCACCAAAGCACTTGACCTTGTCGCTCCGCTCCTCGACCCGTGGCTCTGCTCCTCTGGCAATATGGATGGCCACTGCAAAGAAATCACACAGGCAAAATCAAATAGAGACGGATCCCCTTCGAGTAAAACATTCTGACCAACTTTCCCTCTCAGGTTCCTTTACGCTCACCTCTTACTGCAAGGACCTCCTTCCTATTCTGCTGACGCTTGTCAGCTTGTGCACCACCGGAAAAAAAGCAAATGACAAAGGATGTGCTTAGATTCACCAAAATTACAAGGCGCCACAAGTACCACCTGATTCTTACAGCCAGGAAAATGCTCACCTTGCTCGTCTGCACTCCGATGTCAATAGCCCCAACCACCGCCTGCATCCGACCTCGAGAGAAAGAGGAAAAAAGGTGCTCAAAAAATGACCACTGTCAAGAAGGGCCACATGTGGGGTCTGGTTTCAGGATGGTTGCCAGCAAAGCATCCTGGGAGTTGTAGTTTTTAAGTACTCTAGTCCACATGTGCAGCTGAATGCTTGGATAGGATTGGCTGATTAGGTCACGTGTGTGGTGACCTGTCAGCATTTGAAACTTCTATATAAGCCCTTGTGTCTTCCAATAAAGCCTGGCATTTTTTCCATCCCACATTAGTGTCATTGTCTGGTCCGTGGGACTGTTTCTTTATTATATTATTACAACTGCTCCATTTGGCAGCCAGACACAACCTTGGAATATGAGTAGCAGGAAAATGCTGACCTTGCTCCTCCGTCCTCTAGTGCTGGTAGGCCCACCAACCGCCTGCATCCCCCCTCGAAAAAAAGAACAAAAACAGGCTCACAGAATGACCAGTGTCAAAAAGGGCCAGAGAAAACCTTGGATTCTGGCTGGCAGGAAAATGCTGACCTTGCTCGGCTGCGCTCCAGTGCCGATAGTCCAAACCAATGCTTGCATCCCACCTCGAAACAAAAGAGCAAAAACACACTCACAGAATGACCACTGACAAGAAGGGCAGAGATAACCATGGATCATGGCTGGAAGGAAAACGCTCACCTTGCTCGTCTGCCCTCTGGTGCCGACAGCACTAACAACCGCCTGCATCCCACCTCGAAAGAAAGAGCAAAACCACGCTCACAAAATGACCACTGAGATGAAGGGTCAGAGATAACTTTGGATACAGGCTGACTGGAAAATGCTGACCTTGCTCGTCTGCACTCCGGTGCCGATAGCCCAAACCAATGCTTGCATCCCACCTCGAAAGAAAGAACAAAAAGAGGCTCACACAATGACATCTGACAAGAAGAGCCTCTAAGATCTGCTGAGCTCTCTCTGGCTGGGTTTGGCCTGTCCTGGAGAGCCTCAGGTCTGGTTGGGCTGCCCCAGGCAGACGTTGCAGGAAGAAGAGCCCAGGCCTCCTGTGTCTGCTGTCCCTGGGGCTCAGCCTGTGCCCCATTCCTGCCCAGGGGCTGAGCCCACCTCTGCCTCGGGGCCTTGGGCAAAGGGCTGGCGAGGGAGAGGCCCAGGAGCCTTGGGGCCTGCCCAGCTTTCCTCCTCCCTGGGGGCTCCCAGTCCTCGCCTGACACCCTGTTGGCCCCAGGCCTTGCTGGCTCCAGGCTCACGGCCCGCTGGCACCATCCCACTGGTCTGACCCCCCTCCTTGCCCTCTCTAAAGCCACTCCTGACTTTTATCAAGGCACCATCTAAGGAAAACCCCGGTTATCAGAAATGGCACCTGTGGGACGGCTGCAAGGCTCGAGTCTGCCAGGCAAGAGCAGGAGCACAGAGAGCCTGAGGAGCCAGGAGATGCCCTGGTTGGGCATTGTGCTGCTGTGGGAAGAGCTGACCCCTCTGCACAGTCTCTGCCGTCGCTGCCAGCCAAGTTCTGCCCGGGCTCTGTGCACGGGGACGGAGCGCTGACAGTTTTCAGACCCCACGCTGTTCCACAAAGGCTGTGATGTCACAAGGCCCTTGCCTGGCAGCCAGAAGATGGGTAAGGCAAGGCAAGGACGGAACCTCTGAGCCACCAGTACTCTGTCCCAAAGGCTGGGATGGCACAGAAGCCCAGAATCCATGAGGTTGGCAGAGACTTCAGAGATCAACAGGCATCCAGTCTACCACTCAGCCCCAGGACGTCAAGCAGACCACAGCACTAATGTCCACTCTGTCCCTAAACACCTCCAGGCACGGTGACTCCACCACCTCCCTGGGCAGCCCATTTCAATGCCTAATCCCTGTTGCTGTTCAAAAATTCCTGATCCTTTCCCTGACAATCATCCCCTGACAGGCAGGTCCTCACGTCCTCTTGCCCAATCGCCTGTTGCCTCGCAGAAGAGGCTGACCCCACCTGGTTCCACCCTGCTGTCAGGAAGTTTTGGACAGTGAGAAGGTCAGCCCTGAGCCTCCTCTTCTCCAGTTGCCTCAGCTGCTCATCATAGGATGTGCACTCCAGACCCTTGAACAGCTCCAACAAACTCCAGCCCCTCAATGTTCTTCATGAATTGAGGGGCCCAGAACCAGACACAGCACGCCAGTATTGGGGACTCACCAATACCCAGTCCAGCGGAGGAAT